GGGCTCACAGAGACTAAAGCAACAATCAGGGAGTCTGTACACATCTTAGGAGTCTTAGGTCCTTGGAATACATGTTATGGTTGTGCAGCTTGGTGTTCTTATAGGACTTCTAACAGTGGGAGTTGACTCTGACTCTTTTGCCTGCTTTTGGGACCCTTTTTCTCCTACTGGGTGGCCTCATCCAGCCTTATTGTGAGGTTAAGTGCTCAGTCTTACTGCAACTTGCTATACAGTTGTTATCCCTGGGATGCCTGCTTTTTTCTGAAAGGAAACAAGAGTGAATCTGGGGCAGAGGGGAGGTCGGGAGACAGTGACTAGGAGTGGAAGGAGGGGAAACTGGGGTTAGGATATATGGGAAAAATAAATAAAAAATTAGAAAGGAAAGAAATAAGAGGAAGAGGAGGAGGAGGAGGAGGAGAGCCACAGGAAAGCCATCAACCATGCACAGAAATTACATTTTTGTTACAGTGTTTCAGATAAGATCCAGGGACTGACTCATACTAAGCAGGTGTACTGTCACTGAGGGATACCATACACAAGTCCTGGGCTAGTGGTATAGGTAGGGCGTGGTTAAAACCATGAGCTCCAGGCTCAGTGGGAAACCCTGTTTCAAAATAAAAAGCAGGATGAGCAAGGGCTTCTCCTCATGGCAGACCCTAGAGATAAGGTGCTTCCGGACTATCACAAGAAGCTGTCAGAGCACAAGCTGATCGATGACTGTCTTTAAGGAGCTAAGGAAACACTTGGAACTTACCAAGCAGCATCAAAACTATCATAACACACTACAAAGTGTTGGGCAGATTGTGGGTGAAGTGCTCAAACAGTTAACAGAAGAAAATTTCATTGTTAAAGCAACAAATAGACCAAGAGATGCCGTAGGTTGTTAAAGGCAGCTTGATACTAAGCAAGCTGAAGCCAGGAAGAAGAGTTGCTTTGGGTGTGACTACACTAACCATTATGAGGTATTTGTCAAGAGGTGGAGCCATTGGTTTACAATATGCCACACAAGGATCCAGGAAACGTTGCTTATTCTGAGATTGGAGGGCTGTCAGAACAGATTCAGTAATTAAGAGAGGGAATAAAATTAGCTCTTATAAACCCAGGTATTAGTCCAGTGTGTAGGAATAATACTCCAAAGGCTGTTTGCTATATGGACCACCAGGCACTGGGAAAACATTCTTGGAATGAGTTGTTGCCAGACAGCTGGACTGCAACTTCTTAAAGGTTGTATCTCTGTGAGTTTGAGACCAGCCTGGTCCGCAGAGTGAGATCCACCTGCCTCTGCCTCCCTGAGTGCTGGGAAGGGGAGCATTTTTTTAATTTTAATTTTATTTTAATTACACTTTATTTACTTTGTATCCCCCCTAAGGGGAGCATTGCTTATGACTTATTTTATATTTTTCCTCATCCTAAAACAATGGAATAAAATCTGTCTTAGTTGTCCTATAAAAAAAAACACAAAAAGCAGACAGATAAAAATATGCCACACGTATAAAAATCATATACTCCAAGAAACCAAAAAAAATATTACCCTTTATAACATTAGTAGTATCACTAGCTGGACATGATGGCACATGCCTTTAATCCCAGCCTTTGGAAGGCAAGAGGCAGGAGAATTTCTGTGAGTTAAAGCCAGTCTGGTCTACATAGTGAGTTCCAGGGCAACCAGGACTACATAAAGAGACCCTGTCTCAAAACAATAACAAAAGTATCATTATAAACACTACACACAGTTATACTCAAGTTACACATGTATGAAGATTGTCACCTTCACTAAACTGCTTTCCTCTGAGAGCACCTTCCCTCTTCACACCAGCCCCCAGTTTCTGCCCATTTTTATTTTTATGCCGGGGCATTTGATCTACTCATTTTCCTTCTGGCCCCAAATGCCCTTTGATCTTGCTTTCTTCTGGAGCATCTGTCCTGCTAATATTTTGTTTCCAATTAACTAATGTCCTATTGTTTTTAATTAATGCTACCATTTGCTTTCTCCTGTCCCCACTCCAGGATGCTGAACACTGCTGGATAAATCCACAGGACTTGTTTGTGTTGGGATTCCTATGTATGCTTGCTTTGCAGCTCTCCTGTCTCATAGTGTTCCTCTTTCCAGTGGGAAGAAGAGAATTCTCATTTAAAAATGTTGTGTTCGTTGAAGGTTTAGAATAAGTCCTTTGAGCTAAGAGGTTATGTAAGAAGCTATGAATAGAACAAAATAAAAATTTTTAAAAAGCCTGGCATGGTGGCACATGCCTTTATTACAGTATTCAAGAAGCAGAGAGAGGCAGGCAGATCTCTGCGTTTGAGGTCAGCCTGGTCTACAGAGTGAGTTACGAGATGACTAGGGCTACATAGAGAAACCCTGTCTTTAAAAACAGAAACAAAACAAAACAAAAAAACAAACAGCCCCTCCCCCAAAAAAACCAGTTACAACAGAACCCTAGAAGGAAGCCTTTATAAGAGATCTACCAAATTAATTTTATTTTAAAACCTCAATCTCCTTTAATAATGAGTTTGGGCGTAGTGAGAATTCTGGAAATTTGGTTTCTTTTAAAAACACAGAAATATTCTAAGAGTGTGTTTCTGTTTTAATCCCAGGTGTGGGGGCATGGGGCTGCTTCAGACTGTCTGCAGCAGCTTGTGTTCTACAGAGGCGGCGTGCTTTTGCCAGCTGCAGATGGCTTCTGTGATTGTGTGGTGTTGGCAATTCTGAAAATGTTTCAGAGGGTATATAAATGCTAGAGCCCTGTTTAGGTGGATCAGTGGCTGTTGGTCATTCAGGGGGGTTGGTTGGATTTGTTAATAGTCGTGGTCAAGGAAGAAACAAAAGAAAGAAATTCGATTCAAGGGTCTCGGTCTTTCTCTGTCTCTTCCCCCTCTATCCTTCTTTCTTTCCTATCTAGTGATGGGGGTAAAACTGGGGAATAAGCTGAGTCCAGTGGTTCACACCAGTAACCCTAGCATTCTGGGAGGCAGAGACAGGCAAATCTCTGTGAGTTCTAGGCCAGCCTAGTCTGCAAAGTAAGTCCAGGACAAGCCAAGGCTACACAGAGAAACTCTGTCTTGAAAAAAATATAAAACAAAAAACAAAACAACAAAAAAGAAAACTGGGGGAATAAAGGGTGGGAAAAAGAAGAACCCACAAAGTAGCAAAGACCAGCTACATATGGGTGTTTGGTCTGAGTGTAAGTCTGTACACCACCAGTGTTGTTGTGTGCCTGTTGCTCTCAGAGGCCATTGGATCCCCTGGGACTGGAGTTGCCAATGGTTGTGAGCTGTCATGTGGGTGCTGGATATTGAACCACGGTTCTCTGGAAGGGCAGTCAGTGATCTTAACTGCTCTGTCCAGCCACACAAAACCAAAATCTCAACTAGTGTGTGTTTGTGTGTGTGTATGTGTGTGTGTGTGTGTGTGTGTGTGAGAGAGAGAGAGAGAGAGAGAGAGAGAGAAAGAGAGTGTGTATATGTGTGTATTAATTTGTTATCCTTATTTATTAGTTCCTCTATAGTGTTTGCTATACATAATGTGATTGTGGTATTTGGTGCATCCTAATTTTCCTAATTGTCTCCTTCATTAGAAATAGTATGTGTTATAAAATATCATGTAAAACCTTTGTCCAGAATTCAAACTGCACATGGTGTTGCTATCTGACCTCTTATATTTACCTGCTATACTGGCACATCTTTTCCAGTATTTCATTTTCAAACTTTCAGAATTACTTGAGCACTTTCTCGTAAATAAGATTTTAGTTGACTGTGAACTAATGAACAAATGATGTGTTCATTTGTGCTGAGGTCCATCTGATCTTCTACAGTTTTTTTTTTTAATTTTCCACAGTTTTATTAGCTTGAAATAATTTTTCTTTTCTCTCTGTCTCTGTTTCTCTCTCTCTCTCTCATTTGTTTGTTTTGTTTTTGTTTTCAAGACAAGGTTTCTCTGTGTAGTCTTGGCTGTCCTGGAACTCACTGTGTAGACAAGGCTGACCTGGAATGCAGAGATCTATCTGCCTCTGCCTCCCCAGTGCTAAGATTAAAGGTGTGTGTCACCACCTCCCAGCTATAGCTTGAATGAAATATTTTTATTAATTTATTCATTTTATATTAGTCCCCTCCCTCATCTCTTCCCGGTCCCACCTTCACATCCTCTTCCCCCATCCCCATCTCCTTGTCCTCAGAAAGTCCTCCCTTACCAACTGACCCCAGACTATCTGGACCCCAGACTTCAGGACTGTCCGCATCCTCTTTTACTGTGCACTTGCAAGGCCGCCTAGCCGGGAGGGGGGGCGTGATGGAAGAGCAGGTAACAGAGTTCATGTCAGAGACAGCCCCTGCTCCCCTTACTAGGTAACCTACATGGAGACTGAGCTGTCTTTCGACTACATCTGAGCAGGGGCCCTGGGTCCTCTCCATGCATGATGCTTGGTTGGTGCATGCTTGAAATAATTTTTTCACGTAACTAAAGATGTGAAAAACATGTTTACACAAAGCCCAGGTTTCTCTGACCTTTCTTTTGTCTCTAGCTTCATTTTTTTTTTTAAAGTGGGCATGCTTTATAGATTTTTACATTTTTCTCTGAAGACCTATCTCACCGTGTTTTGTTGTTTTATTTGTTTGTTTGTTTGTTTCGAGTGTGTAGCACTGGATGTCCTGCACTCGCTTTGCAGACCAGGCTAGTCAGTGTGTTTTTCAATGCTATTCTGCAACATCTCGCCTGCAGAGATTTATTTCCAGCTTCTAGTTTATAAAGGAGTGATTGGGAATAAATAATTAGAGCCTCGTAGGGCATTCTCATCGATTCTACTCAAAAAAAAAAAAAAAAAAAATGCCACAAGGAATTTCGAAACCTTGCACCAATGGCGCCATCTCTTGGTGAAGTAAGAGGCGGGCAGAGGGAAGGTGCAATGCAGTCCTCCCGTCAGCAGGGTGCAGTGCGAGTCGGGCAGTGCTGCTTAGCTTCCGCGATCACACGCAGGCGCAGACGTGTACTCCCGGCAGCCTCCGCGCTCTCACCCCGCGCGGCGGATCACCCTGCGGGCTCGGCGGAGGGTAGTCGCCGCGGCGGGCTCGGGCTGTCGGCGGGCTTCCGCGCAGGGCGGCCGGGCTCCGCGCTGCCGCCGCCGTGGCCCATGGGCAGAATCGTCTCGGAAGTCCGGGTGAGTGGCGCCGTGGCGGTCCCGGGCAGGCGGGCTGATCCGGAACGGGGACTCGGGTGAGCGCGCCTCCACGGATGCGCTGAACGCGAGGCCGCGGCTCTAGGCCGCGCCGTGAGGGGCGCGGGGATGCGGGCGCGGCACCCCGAGCTGCCAAGGGGGTGCTCAACCCTTCACGGCGGGCCCCTTCTGCTTGCCATGCTTGACCGGGCCACCGAGATCTTCCCTCCACCTGTCTTGATTGCCTTGACAGTAGAGAACGTACCTTTCTCCTGTTCATGGTCCATGTCCAGACCAAGTTGTTGGCTCGCTGGACTCCGGTAACCCAGAGTGCGTCAGGCCTCAGGGATGGAGCGACAAAAAAAAACCCCAAACTTGTTTCCTTCCAGGATTCCAGAAGTAAGGGTTGAGGGCGTTGTCTCACCTGGACAGGTAGAGGCAGTTGTAACCCCCAGTATGTTCAGCTCCGTGTGAAGGGGAGTTTTAGCGTTCGTGTCCAGCCCCTAGTTCTTGAGCTCCTTTTGCTTGGACTAGGTGTGTTATAAATGCGTGTTGCAAGTTCAGTGAGGTATTTCTTCAGAGGTTAGATCTTTAAGAAGCAGGTTTGGACATCCAGGCCCAGATTGATCTGAAGAGCCAGCATACAACCTGAAAAAACCTGGAAGAGCAGCTGTCGTTTATTAAGTTTAGAGGAACTTCATCAGAGGCGCAGAAGTGGGAATGCTGCAGTGATGATTATGTGGGAAGGCAACAGCAGTGAAGCACCGTAGGGCATTCTGTTGTTTAAGGCCTTGTGACAAGGGATGAGGAGAGATTTAGAGGGGTAATCAAATCTTGACCATCCGTTGGTAAGTCAAGAAGGGAGGACCATTGACCTATAAATTCTTCTTGGTAAGGGCACATGAGGAAGGGATGCATGATTTCCTAGATAATTCTGCTGTGCTCAGAGTAATCTCCCTGCAGCTTTTTTAAATCATTCAATACAGTGCGCACGTACTGGGATTAGCCGTAAGCCTTTCTAGATAAACGAATGTTAGTAAATATGAGTAACCTAGCCCAGGGTGATGGCATATGCCTGGAACTTCTGTACTTGGGAGGTGCAGGCAGGAACATTCAGGATTCAAGAACAAGCCACATGTAGAAATCAGAGGACAGCCTGTAGGAGTCAGAGTTCTCCTTCTACCATATGGACCCTCATTGACCCTGGTTTGTTATTACATAGTTTTCCCTGAGCATAAATTTTTCACACAGCCTTCCAGCAGAGAAAGTTTACAGTGTAGTAATTCTACAAGTGTTTCAGAACAGTAGGGAAACCTGCTCTGCTGGATACTTACATTTCAAATTATTTAGTTTGTTTTTGATAGGCTCAGGCCTGTGGTATTTTGATAATATCGATGGGAAATTTAAGCTGTCAGATAAGGCATAGCTACAGATAGAGGGAAATAAATGATTCTCTTAAAAAAAATTATCATTATATTCGAATATAAGATGTGATTGTATGTCAATCTAACAAAGGGATAGGCTTGTTATAGTTACTCTTGGTTGTCAACTTGGCTACAGCTAGAATTAACCAAAACCCAAATGGCTGGCCATACCTGTGAGAGATTGTTTTTGTTTTTCTGTGAGACAGGTTTCTTTTTGTAACAGCCCTGGCTGCCCTTGAACTCACTCTGTAGACCAGGCTGGCCTTCCACTTACAGAGGTGCACTTGCCTTTGGAGTACTGGAAATAAGGGTGTGCTCCACCAGTCAGCTCAGGGATTTTTTTTTTTTTTTCCAATCATTTTGGAAAGACCTCCTTCTATTTGGATCTTAGAGTTGGGAATATACTTTTTTAATCTGGGCCACACTTTCTGCTGACAGCCTTTATAAAAGACATGGAAGAAGGAAGTTTGCTCTTTGCTTGCTTGTTCTTGCTCTCGTTAGCAAGTCCTTCCCTTCACTGACCATAGAGCCTACTTCTTGGGGATTCCAGAGTATACTGAGGATCAACGGAGACACCCAGCCTCATGGACTGAACAACTGCTGGATTCTTGGACCTCCTGTTTGTAGGTAGCCATTGTTAGATGAGCTGGACCACAGCCTCTAAGCCATTCAAATAAATCCCCACATATATATGAAATTTTGTAAGTTCTATTCATCTAGAGTCTCGAGAACCCTGACTAATAAAATTAGGTGATCTGACCAAAGGGTAACATTGCCATAAAAAATAAACTAAGGGCTGGGGGAGGGAGGTTAGGTTAGGTTAGTGGATTGCTGACAGGTAAACATTAGGCCTTAAGTTGATCCTGACACCCATGTAAAACTTTCTACACAGAGGTGCATACCTATAACCCCAGCTCTAGGGAGGTCAAGAAAGGAGGGCCTCTGGGGCATACTGGCTAGCTTGTCTTGCCAAGTCAGTGAGTTCTGTATTTGATAAAAGACCCTGTCTCAAAAAAAAATAAGGTGGATGGAGAGTGTCCATGGCTTCTGCATGCATATACATATACATACAATCCAGTTCTATGAACAGAAAGGTCAGTGAAAAGCAGAAAATTAAAATAACATTTTTACTAATAACATGTCTACTGAGGTGTAAAAGTGATTTCATGATCTGTTATAAAAAACTACCAAATGCTGGAGCGATGACATGAGTTTCTGATACTTAAAAAAAGTGTTGGTTTTTTTTTTTTTTAACATTTTAAAGAGAAAAAAAGAGCTAGTCGGATCACATGGAATTGTCAACTGACCATCTTCAATTTAGAAATGAAATAAAATCACAGAAGTGTCGTGCATTAATTCAGCAGTAAAGATTGAATTAGCCTTGAGTGGTGGTACGTACCTTTTATCGAAGCACTTAGGAGGCAGAGGAGCTGAGTTTGAGGCCAGCTTGGTCTATGAATCAAGTTCTTGGTCAGCTAGAGCCACACAGACCCTGTCTCAAGAGAAAAGTGGTGTATTAAATAGGAATTTTCAGGTGGAAGGGCTCTGTTGGAAGCTGAGATTCTCTCAGTGTTTGATTTTATTTTTAAACCTAAAGGTTATGAAAACACATCTGTCAGAGTTAATACTTTTTCGTAAGGCAGTACACCACTGTTTGCTAATATTAGCTGCCTCTTTAACTTTTTATTCTTAGATTTATACATGGTACAGGCTGACTTGGAACTCTTGTTTCTCAGCCTCCTGGTGAGCTTATCCTGTGGTAAACAAACATAACACAGTTACACCATTTTAGGTATTTATAAGTGTACATTTATATGGCAGTATGCTGGTTAGTTGTGTTGTTTTTTTTTTGTCACCTCAACACAGCTAGAGTCATCTGGGAAGAGGGAAACTTAGCTGAAAATTGTCTCCCATCAATTGGCCTGTAGGCAAGTCTGTACATTTTCTTGATGTGGGTGGGCCCAGGCTGTTGTGGATGGTTCCTCCCTTTGCAGGTGGTCCTGCATTATATACGAAGCAAGCAGAGCCAGCCAGTAAGTAGTACGCCATGGTCTCTGCTTCAGTTTCTGCCTCTAGATTTCTGTCCTGCTTGACTTCCTGCCTTGACTTTCCCTTAGTGATGGACTATGATGGGACATGTAAGCCCAGTAAATCCTCCCAGATTGTTCTAGGTCATGGTGATTGTTACAACAATAGAAAGCAGACCAAAGGCAAGTGATAAATATACTCAAAATTGCTCAACTTTTTGCCTTTTTTAAGGAAAAAAATGTTGAGATAGGATTTCATGTAGCCCAAGCTGGCCTAGAACTCACTGTTTAGTCAAGGGTGACTGTGAATTTCTGATCCTCCTGCTGCATACAATCAGACCCAGGGCTACGAGTGTGCTCTGCACTCTACTACCTGAGCTCTATTCAAAGCCCCACAGGTCAGTGTTGATAAACAGGAGAATTTAACAGACAGTTCATTCATTACTCTTCCCTCAGTAGTCATGTTTTGTAAAACTACAGAATCATTCTTAACATCTTTTTTTTCCTGTGAAGTTATGTAATTAGGCTCTCATGTCCTAGGCCAGTCTCAGACTCCTTGTGTAGCTTGATGGCCTCATGCTCTACATTGTCTAGTGTCCACTTCCCAAGCTGAGATAACAAGCACATGCCCCACAGCGGGTGGGTTTACGTGGTTTCTTATCAAAGAACAGCTGCCTGTGCTGATCCAGCCTACCAACTGCTGCTGTCAAAAGACTTCCACTTTCTGCCACTGAGATGAACAGTAAACTGGATCTTATAGTTAATAATGCCCCAAATGGAGAGCTTCCATCTTACCTCATTATCTGTTCTAGAACTGAAGGATTTTACTCGTGAATCACTTCACCACAGTCTTGTAGATTGAGAAGTTAATTCTAGGCTGGGCATAGTGACATATGCCAGGGCTTAGGAGAATAGGAAAGAGAATCACAAATTCAAAGCCAACCTCATTATTGTGATGAGTTCAGGGCTGGCCTGAGCTACATGAGAACCAGTCTTAAAAGAAAAATGAATTCTAGAGAACTGTTTTTAAAATGGTGCGTGGGTGTAGTTTTGCATATTAGAAAGAACCTTGCATTTGTGACAGCAGGGGTCCCTGGAGCCGATTTAACAGAGACGATCAAAACTTGCTTGTGTTTCACATTATTTCATCTCTGCTTTTGCTTGTCTTTCAGCTTTAATTTAAAAAGAAGATGTCCCTATATGATGATCTGGGAGTGGAGACCAGTGACTCAAAAACTGAAGGCTGGTCTAAAAACTTCAAACTTCTGCAGTCCCAGCTTCAGGTGAAGAAGGCAGCTCTTACTCAAGCAAAGGTAAGAATAGGCCCAGAACAGGAATGGGAAAGCCCACAAGGAACTAAGTGAGTTCCTTGAGAATAGTTTCGTTTAAGCTTGTTCCTTTGCCTCCTTGATGGGTACACATAAACTAGTGAGCGGGAAGAAGGATGGAGAGTTGAGATTACTGTACTGCTTCTGGCTGTAGTGAACAACTGGACCATTTCATGGCATAGGAATGAAAAAAAAAAGCACTATTCTCAACTCCTAGTTGAGTTAGGAGGCTGGCTGTAGACTTCAGCATGTTGGAGACTGACTGACAACTGTTTTCAGATGCTGCTTTTGTAGCTGTAGTCATGATATTCTGGTAGTTCTGCTCTAGGCTGGCCCCAGCGATATACATTCCTAAGTAATATCCTGCTTGTTTATATAGGAAGCTTGGAAGCAGCTTTGCAGAATAATCAGAGCCACAGTATGGATGACAATAATTGTGAATATGTCTGCATGTAGAAATTTCTCTCGTCTGTGTTGTATACCCATACATGGGCACTGTCTTTGAAATATGGCAACTTTTTCTTTGTTTTTGTTTTTGAGGTGGTACTCAATACGTAGTCTAGAGCTGGCTGTGTAGACCAGGCTGGCCTCAAATTCACAGAGATCCACCTGCCTCTGCCTCTCAAGTTCTGGGATTAAAGGCGTGTGCCACCACAACATTTAAAGTATGGAAGGTGTAATAAGAATGAAAGTACTTTGCTTGCTGTTTGATGTTCCTTAGGTTTTAGAGCTTGTGTCCTCAGTGGAGGCTTTAGCCCTCAGATGGAACTAGTATTGTTTTTAGGGAACAAAAAAATCTTGTTCTTGTATGAAGCACAGATAGAGACAATGTATGCTGTATCTGTACTGTGCTCCTTAAAGAAGAAAATTATAAAGGTTGACCGTGGTGGCACAACCCTTGTAATCTCAGCACTTGAGAGGCTGAGGCAGGAGTATTGCTCATAATTTGAGGCCAGTTTGGAATACAGCATGAGATCTTCTCTTTAAAGGGGGTGGGAAGGGGATTAGAAAATCTACTTTGGAAATAGACACTGAAAAGTTGCTAATACAAGGATTTCATTGGTGGCTGGAGAGATGTTCATCAGTTAAGAGCATTTATTGCATTTGTAGAGGACCTTAGTTCAGACTCCAGCACCCACATTAAACATTTTACAACTACCTCTAACTCCAGCTCCAGGGAGTCTGATACGTGTTCTGACCTCTGTAGGCATGCGTGTGGTACATAGACATACATATAAGCAAAACACTAAAACATTAAACTCATGTATGTATACACACACATATATCTGTTTCTAAGCTGAGGTATACATATAGCTCAGTGGTAGAGTACTTGCCTAGCTTATGTGAGTCTCAGGTTCAATCCCTAGAATCCCCCTCCTCCAAAATAGTCTTAACAGATAAAAACACCTACATGTACTTTTAATCCCAGCACTTTTGAGCTGGAGGCACAAGGCATGCTCAGAAATTTGAGACAAGCCTGTGCTACACTGTAAGACCCTGCCTTCAAAAAATAAGCCAACTTTGTAGATTATGTATAACTGAGTTTTTAAAACCCATGTCTAATTTGTAATTTTCTATATCTGGCCAGTTCATAAATCTCTTCATAAGCTAAAGGTTCAGACATATAGTTTTGAAACCAGCTTATATATTAGCTTGGAAGAGGAGGGGGTTTGGTATGAATGGGAGAAGGGAGAATGTAATGCTGGATGAATATGATGGAATACATTATATACATGTTTGAAATGTCATAAAATCTGGTATTATATGTAACTTATAAACACTAGTACATTCTTAGTGGCTTGTTTGTTTGTTGTTTTTTAGACAGGATCTCATTATGTAGACCAGCCTGTCCTCTTAACTCATAGAGATCTTCCTTTCTCTGCCTCCCAAGTGCTCGGATTAAAGGTGTGTGCCACCATGCTAGCCACTACTATATTTTAAACCAGCTTATACAAAGTAGAATTGAGAAAGTCTTTTTAATAATAAGTACATTAAAAACTATAATATAATTCCTGGGACATGTTAGGTTTTTTTCTTTTTTAATAACTGTGTGTGTGTGTGTGTGTGTGTGTGTGTGTGTGTGTGTGTGTGTGTGTGTGAAAAATAAAGTTAGTTTTAAAAAAGTTGCTTAGGAGCAAGGAAATAGTATTTTCTTAAGAAATTTAGGCTCTTGGTGGCTCTCTACCTCAGTCTTTATGCTTCTTTTCTTTTCTTTTTTTTGCTTATTTTCTTTTTTCTTTTCTTTCTCTCTCCACACACACACACACACACACACACACACACACACACACGTTTTTTGCCAGTCATGGCTGTCCTAGAACGCAGGGATCCATCTATTTTTGCCTTCAAAGTGCTGGGATCAAAGGTGCACACCACCACTCCCAGCTATCCAGATATTTAATGTAGCTGTTAGCAAATATCTTGAAATTGCATATAGATTTGAGTCAGTCAAAATAGAACATTACTTTAGAAAAACCATCTGTGCTAACCTGACATGAATTTCAAAGATTCTCTATGTGGTTGATTTCTTAGGAAGACATGAAGATGCACTGTATTGTTTCTCTTGTGCTCTTTGGTGAATTTCTCAGAGTACTAACCAAACTTGTAAAAATATTTGGTAGAAAATTTTACCTGTATCTGAAAGATGAAGTGTAAAAAGAACTTTTATTTGCCTGATGTAATTGTTGTATAGAAGGCTTACTGCCTCCATCTGCTAACCTAGGCCTAATCCTGGAAGCGTCTAGCCTCTGTACAATTTAATCTAGACCTAGAATGTTTTCCATCTCTGAGCTCCTAGCTGACTGGTTCAACTCAGCTGTTCTGGCTCAAACTCAAACCCAGCTGACTTGTTCAATCTGGCTTTTCTCTTAGCCTCTATATTGCTCTGCTTGGTCCCAAACTAATTCCAGCAATCTGCTCTAATTTTGTGGCTTCTTCTCATTCTCTGGCTCATTCTGTTTTCCCCTGTATCTAGTTTGTTTTCTCAATCAACCTCTCTTCATAAAACTGTACAGGTGAAACTGCCTCCTCTCTCTGCATTGCCCTTTAAGTAGCTTCCCTTTCCTCTCTCTTCTTGTGAGAGTTGGGGGCGTATCTTATTCTAGCAACTCTTTCTCTGTTTGGTCACGTTTTGTACCACTCAATTAGACATCACAATTTGATGATGATCACCCATCATCAAACATGGGTTCTTTCTTCTGCAAACTAACTTTACCATCATTGTTTGGGATTAAAGGCGTGTACTAAGCCTGTACCTAAGCTTTTCTACCTGATACTTGCTCTATAGACCAGGCTGGCCTTAAACTCAGATCTGCTTGCTTCTGTCTCCTGGATTAAAGGCTATTCCAGCTGGATCACATAGACCTAGAATGTCTTTGGATATGATCTCTTTCCAGAGCAGCCATGTTTTGAATTAAAATTTCTCTGCAATGAAGCTATGGCTTCATATTAAATTTAAAAACGAGCAAGTAAATGATTATCATAATCCCCATTGTAGAAACCTTAGGGTTTATGTTGTGGTTTTGTATTTGATACCTGAATATATGTTGTTTGCTTGTAGCACTGTCCAGAGAGCTCAGATTAAAAGAATGAAAGTTTATACCACTTTTTTTATAGTAAAACTGAGAAGTTAAACATTCATGATTACTATCATTCCATGTGATTGATCAGCCATGGCATCTTAGCAATCTGAGAACTTGATGTAGTTCAGCAGCTCATGGTGAGAACATTCTTGCCTTCAAGCTTTACCCTCAATCTGACCAGGTTTTAGAAATGGTAGAATGTAGAAGTATAAGTTAATGAGACTTGGGTAGAATAAGCATTAGTAAGAGCGGTGTCCCAGGGGAAAAACAAAGAAGACGGTGATAATGTCAAGGAAGAGGGACTGCTAAAAGTCTGAGACACAGATGACAAGTATATTTTGGAAACTGGCAGGGTCTTTGCTTAAAAACAAAAAAACAAAGACCAGCTATTTAAAATGCACTTTGAAGCTGGTGGCACACACCTGTAATACCAGCACTTGGGGAGGCAGAGGCAGGTAGATCTCTATGAGTTTGAGGATCAGCCTGGTCTACAAAGCAAGTCCAGGACAGCCAAGGCTACACAGAGAGACCCTGTCTCAAAAAACAAAGAAAAAGAAAATGCACTTTGAGGATGGTGAGATGGCTGCGTGAGTCAGCCTGATGGCATGAGTTTGATCTCTAGATCCCCTATGGTGGAAAGAGATCCCAGTCCCTCCGGTTCAGGCACTGTGGTACTTGCATGCCAATACACCTGTGTGTACACACCAAAGTACACAAAACAATAAGTAATTTTTAATTGGTTGGGGTAAGGTCATACTAAAAGAAGTAGGGTAGGGTTTCCTCTGGAGGCAGAAGTGGATCTTTGTGATTTTTAAGGGTAGCCATAAAGTGGTAGCATTTACTATAAACTTTATAGAAAAGTGGAGGAAATCTGTGCTTTTAAAAAGACCTAAAAAAGGGAGGGGATGAAGATATAGTTTAGTTGATAGAGTGTTTGCCTGGTTTTAAGAAGTCTGTGTTAAATCCCCTGTGTATAACTAGGTGTGGTGATAAACCAACACTCAGCAATGTGGAGGCAGTAGGATCAGGAGTCCCAAGTTAATCATCAGCTATGTAGGGAGCTGGAGACAGCCTGGGTTACATGAGACCCTACATCGGAAAACACTTAGCACTGATTGTGTGCTATTGTTTTAAGACTATGATTTTATCACAGCCAAGGGCTTGTTACAGAGACCAGAAAAAAGTGTCTTTGTGGCAAGTAGCATAAATTTTAATTTGGAACTTTGTATATTTTTCTTGTTTCTGATGTCAGAGCCAACGGACAAAACAAAGTACAGTCCTCGCCCCAGTCATCGACCTGAAGCGAGGAGGCTCCTCAGATGACCGGCAGATTGTAGACACACCACCTCATGTAGCAGCTGGGCTGAAGGTAAGCCTACACCTGCCTATGGCTTTGAAGCATTTTCCACTTTTCTTTATTTACTCGAATGTTCGTGTGTGTGTGTGTGTGTGTGTGTGTGTGTGTGTGTGTGTGTTTGTACATATGTGTATGTGCACCCATGGAGGCCAGAAGGGCACATTAGATCTTTTGGGGCTGGAGTTAGCCATTTTTGAATTACCTGATAGGGTGCTGAGAACAAAACTCTGGTTGAATGTACTCTTAACTACTGACCATCCCCAGCCCTGCACAAGGCCAGTAAAAAGCTAGTATTATTTCAACTCGAGTTTTACTTCATCACCATCAAAACCTTTATTACCTAAAATAGTTTATTATGGAAACATCAGGAATGAAAGATGGGTAAAAAGAACAGCAGATATATTTTTAGTCATACCCTCCAAACATTAAAAATGACATAATTTTAGAATATCTTTCTTGTATGTGTTCTCTGCCTTCTGCTCTAGTTTGTGTTTAGTGAGTGTTCATCCATCTTTGTCAAAAAATGTGATCATTTAAAAATATTTTTATGTGTATGAGTGTTTTTGCTTGCATGTGTCAGTGCACTTCATGTGTGCCTGTTGCCTGTGAGGATGCGTCCCCTAGGACTGGAGTTGGAAACAGTTGTGAGCCACCATGTGGGTGATGGGAATCAAATTTGGTCCTCTGAAAGAACAGTCAGTGCAGCTAAGTACAAGGGCATATCTTTAGCCCCTGTATGGTCATTTTTAATGGTTTCAGTGTGTTGCCTTGTATGGATTACCTGTAATTTAATTCTTCTAATGTAAACTATATGGTTGTTTCTAATTAGCTAGTAGCAGCTTATTTTAGAGAAAGGTGTAAAACGTAAAAAGTTGGGCAGAGTGCTGCCTGTTATTAATAGGACAGGGCTTCAGGGAAGCAGGAGTCTTAGAAGTTGTTCAAGTTATCCTTGGACATAAGTCTCGTTTGTGGCTCAGAAATGCAGAGGGAACAAGGGAAGTCTGGAAAATGATACTTCATTGTCACATGTTTTTTTCTACAGATGTTATTCAAATGATGACTGTGGTAGTTTAAACTTCCACTGAAGAGATGCTGTGTTCATGGATTTAGTCTTTAAGTTCATCAGTGCTTTTCTGTAAATAAGCTTTTGCTCAATTGCGTGGTTGTCCTACCACCTGGTGAGGTTCAGCCTTCTAAGCAGTTGTTCATGCACCTAGGAAATAGATCTGGAAAGCCTCTCTTAGCTCATCCTTTCACCTTGATTCTGTGATAACCCTGTAAGATATGAAGATACGACTCACTTGGATGTTCTTACTTCGTCAGGACCCAGTGCCCAGTGGGTTTTCTGCTGGGGAAGTTCTGATTCCCTTAGCTGATGAATACGATCCTATGTTTCCTAATGATTATGAGAAAGTAGTGAAGCGTCAGAGAGAAGAGCGACAGAGGCAGCGGGAGCTGGAAAGACAGAAGGAAATAGAAGAAAGAGAAAAGTAAGCTTCATCTTGATTTGGGAATACATGTCTTACAGTTATGGTTTCAATCAACAGGAGTTTACTTATTTCTAAGAATTTATATTTATTCCAACCCACTGTGATGGCACACTTAAGAAAATTTATTTATAGACTCTGAAAATGTTAAGTATGGACTTTGCACAAGTTAGAAAAATAACTTAGAAACCCAATTTGTAGCAAGTGTGGTACATGCCTGTAATCCTACATACATAGCCCTGTCTGAAAACTAAAACACAACAGAGACCCATGCTGAAATGTTTGTCAGGGTGGTGACTGCTAGAATAACAACTATATACAGTATTTACTTTTACTGTTTTGTTGTTGTTGTTTGTTTTGATTTTTGTTTTTAAGACAGGATTTTTCTGTGTAGCTCTGGCTTTGCTGGAACTCTAGACCAGGTTGGCCTTGAACTCACTGAAATCTGTCCGCCTCTGCCTCCAGAGTGCTGGAATCAAAGGTGTGTACCACTGAGCGTGGCTTCTTTTCCTATTTTTAAGCCAGGTGAAATTTGCATTTTTCCATTTACTTCTTAAAACTATAGGTAATAGAATTTATTTCTTAATTTTTTATTTTGATTTATTCTTCTCTCATATATTACATCCTGACTGCAGTTTTTTCCCCTCCTACCCTCCCAGTCCCTGAAATCATATGCCTTAAAATCAAAAGTTAGATGTCACAATTTTTTTTCTATGGATTACACCCATGTATCTGTTAAACTTGTTCACTTTTTCTTTTGAGTTTTTCTGTTGTATTTGTCCCCAGCATGTGTTTGTGTATACAAATTAACTTTATACTCAAAAGAACATTTTTCTTTCTTTTTGTTTTGTTTTGCTAAGAGGAAGTCACACTGACATTTAAGCTTCATGTTCTATATTAATTTATCTGTGATGAGCATTCACTGCCTTGTCATTACAGGAGGCGTAAAGACAGGCATGAAGCCAGTGGGTTTTCAAGACGACCAGACCCAGATTCTGATGAAGATGAAGATTATGAGCGAGAGCGGAGAAAAAGAAGTAAGGCATAATCAGAGCTAAAGTATGCTTTAGACTTAGCACTTTCCCAGACTTTTCCTTTCATCGAGATGTAGTTTGTTCACATTGGGTTAGGTAATGGGGGCAGTTCTCTAGGTTCCGCCAGTCCACATTCATAGCAGCTTTGGTTAATGTTGTTTACTTACATACTCCGCTCTGAACTCTCTAAACACTTTGAGACATCTGTTGTACATTTTGAAAATAGCATTAGTTCTACTTGTGTGCTTTTCCTTATTTGCCTTGTGAGGTCATCTTTTTCCTCCTCTCAAACCTGGTGCATTTCCAGTCAGCACAGGGTGGAGAGGAAGACACCATATCTAAAGCACATTTGTCACTGACTCGACTGGATTTGAAAGTCCATCATGCTTCTTTGCATGGTCACCTGCTTCCTGAGAGAGCAGGGAGATGAAAACCTGTACTGGGTCTTTGGACCACTCCTTCTGTCTACAGTTTTGTGAGAAGAGGCTTATTTGTGTTTAAAATAAATTCTTAGCAGCAGTTATAAGCATTTGCTAATGGCACTTGAAAGAACAGAATACAGAGTAATCTTTTGACTTCATGGTGGTATGCTTGCTGGACTTTTATTTGGCTGGCTTAGTTGGCAGATCCTCTTCTTGTCAGGTGCTGCTTTAGCGTCTCAGTCCTTCACAACTCTGAGCAGGTTCTGTGAGTTGAGTCTTGGGGGGCTCAGTACATTCTGGATATTGTAAGCCCACTTTTGGTCTTAACCTTTCATTTTTATTTGCCTGAAGCCCTCATTGTAATTTGCTGTCCTGAATACAAGACCTAAAGATGATGTGTCATGATACTTGATAACTTCTGTATATGTAATTTTGTTTTATGACAGGACTGATCTTCCTAGATATATGCTGAAGCCTGTTGTAGAGTATAATTTAAATTTTTAAAATACCTGCTAAGTGGAAAATAACAAGTTTATGATTTAAAAATTTTAGTATTTAGATGGATGTGTGAGTTAAATATAGTAGTATTGGGTTTTGTGGGTTTGAGTTTGGTGGTGGAATTGGTAGTGGTGGTGTTTGAGACAGTCTTACTATAGATTCCTGAAACTGTGACCCAGTTATACCTTAAACCCAGACCCACCCTCCTGCCTCAGCCCCCAGAGTGCTAAGATTCTAAATGCTCACTAACAGAGTTCAGTTGCTTTTCTTAGAATAATGTTAATGTTTATTGAATGCACCCTGTGTCTGGTAGTGTGTGCACCTGATACTCAGTATCAACCACTGTTTCATTTTTATTAACATGTTTTGTGTGTTGAATACTTGTAAGTCTTATCTTTCCACCCATAAAGTGACTGCTATCTTTTTATAAGGTATAATTTCTGTATATTAAGAAAATTCCCTTTCTTAAATAATAACAGGAACTATGCAGCTTCCAGTGAGGAGGTTTGCATTTAGACTTGGAGATGACAGAGAAATAACAGCATTCTGTCTGTGATGTACACAGTAATTCCACCTTCTCTCAATGGCTTTAAACTTTTCAGTGTTTCCATTGCCTACAGTCTACTAAAATCTGAAAATACGGAATAGTCCAATAGAATATTCTGAGACGAGCCACATTCACAGTTTTTATTGGTATATTGTTAATGATTGTTGTCATTCTTTTACTGTACTGATAAAGTAGACTCTCATCAGTGGGCACAGTGGTGCATGCCTGTAATCACAGCACTTTGTAAGTGGAAACAAGAGCACAGGCTCAAGGCCAGTCTGGACAAACAAAACAGAAAGTGATTTTTAAAAATGTCCAAAAATCTCTTAAGAAATAAAAGGTTTTTATGTGGGCTCATATTTCTTGTTAGTTACGTCACCTAGTCTGTTAATCATAATGCATCTCTCTACTGGCTTTTGTAACCAATTTCAGTTGCTCTTTTGTTATTCTTACTATTTCACTAATGAAGTTACAATATATCTGGGTGGGGGCTTGAGACAGGGTGTCCTTCTGGCGCTGAAAGTCACAGTCTCTCCAACCTTCCAGAGTACTAATGCTAGAGATGTGGCCAGGACACTGTGTATTTTGGGATTCATATAATGAATTTCTCACAGTCTCTATTTGCAGTATCCCAGTTATTTTTTTCTTTTGGTTGGTGTCCACATTGTCCAGTAGACACAAGCAGGAGTGGTGGTGCTGCCTGACAGATTCCTAAGAGCTGGGATTCATGCTCCCAGGAGATGTCAGGAGCATGCTTGATGGAGCAGTGGCTTTGGCATCACAGGAAGCTGGATTTATTCCATTTCTTCAGATTTATTCTGATTGTTTTTTTCATTTGGAAACAGGAAGCTGTAATCACTTTTAAAAGTTTATGAAGCCAGGCTAAGGCCATAAATACACAGGTGCCAAGTTGGTGTGCTAATTCTAAGGGTTTTCGCTTTCTTCTTCTCCCCCACCTCCCCCCATCAAGAGGCGGTTTCTCTGTGTAGCCTTGGCTGTCCTAGACTTGTTTGGCTGGCCTCACCTGTCTCCCTAAGGGCTGGAATTACAGGCATGAGCCATTGCACCCAGCTTTTGCTTTTTTTTCCCTCAAAATGTACTTGGTAACTATATTCTGTGGCCCTTAAATGCCTTCTATAAAAATAATTTTGCTTAGGTATTGTCTATATTTTCTAATGTATGTTTATTCTTTGAGAATTTCATATATAAATACAATGTAATTTGGTCATATTTGCTTCTCCCACATTAACCCCTACTCCCCTACCCTCTTCCAACTTTGGCATGTCTTCCTTTATTTAAAAAAAAAAAAAAAAAAAAACCATCAAGTCCAATATATGCTATCCATACACTCTTGGGTATGAGCCCTTCCAGTGGCGTATGGACGACCTACCAGGGTCATATTCTTAAAACATTCTCTTAGCTGGTCGGTGGGGTGCATGCCTTTAATCCCAGCACTGGGAAGGCAGAGGCAGGTGGATCTCTGTGGGTTTGAGGCCAGCCTGATCTACAGAGTAAGTTCCAGGACAGCCAAGGCTACAAGGTTACAGAGAAACCCTGTTTTCAAAACACTCGCACACAAAAGGAGAGGGACAGAGAGAGAAACACTCAGCTGTTAGTTGTTAATAGCTACTCAGTCAGGGGTTGGAGCTCGTAAGCCCCTACTTTTTACATTTAAGGGTTAAGGGGTAGGTGTGTGTGTTTGTCTTTGTTTTTGGGTTTGCTGTTGTTTTTGTAGAGATACAACAGATTGGCAAGTACTGAACAGCAGTCCTTGTGAGTGTGTTGTCTTTTAATCACAGTGCTTGTGTTTTTACAGGTATGGGAGGAGCTGCCATCGCCCCACCTACTTCTCTTGTAGAGAAAGACAAGGAGTGTATGTACATCTCTTTCTTCTTTTAGGAGATCCTAAGCTTGAATCTCTAGTTTTCTGAGTTTAGAGCAAATAAACCTGGTTCTCCCCCCTGAAATCATAGTGGCCCTTGCTACCTGCCACACATGGGGTGCTTTTCTTTGTCTTGTTTGTTTTGTAGCAAGGTCTTAACTCCATAGTACTGGCTGCCCTGGAACTATGTTGACTTGCCTCTGCCTTCTAAATGCTGAGATTAAAAAACACGTATCACCATGTCCAACCCTACACTTGGGAGTTTATAATACCAGGCCCAGAAGTATAGAGATTTCCTTCTTGGGGGGAGGGCTTTCTGTGTAACCCTGGCTGTCCTGGTACTCACTTTGTAGAGCAAGCTGGCCTTGAACTCAGAGGTCTGCCTGCCTTTGCCTTCTGGAGGCTGGGATTAAGTGCCTAGCCTGAAGTGGAGGTTTTTATACAGGAAGATAAATTGATTTGTGTTATTATTTTTATCAAGATTTCATGTTTGTGTTAGGTTCATTTGAAGTTAATAAAGCAGCAGTAGCTCATGCCCCTTAACTAGCATGAAGGACAAAGGCAGGAAGTACTCAAATTCAAAGCTAGTATGTGCTATATAGTGAGTTTCCAGGCTAGCTTGTACTGTAGGAATACATGCAGGGTAAACATCCATAAGACAGAAATAAAATAAATGAAACAAAATTAAAAGCTATCAATAATCTTTTAAAAATATTTAGTGTTCTAATTTTATATGTATGTTTTGCCTGCCTCAAAAATCTGAACTAGCTAACAGATTTTGTAACTCAGGGGTTTAGAGCCTGTTGTATTTTGTGACCTTTCACAAGAAGGCCTTTCTTGGCTTAAATTTTTGTTACTGAGCAGTGTTTGTCTACTTACATTCTAAAACATGCCCACCCACCTGTGATTCTCCCCTGGAGTCTGGAAGTTGTGGTTGGATTTTGTCCCATGCTTTGTGCTGAGCCATGCCTAAACTTACTAGTAAAAATAATGGCCAGGCCTACAGCGATGGCTCAGCACTTATGAGTACTGGCTGCTATTTCAGAGGATCCAGGTTTAATTCCTAACACTCACACTAGTGGCAAACAGTCATCTGTAGCTCCAGTTCCAGGGCATCTGACACTTTCTTCTGTCCTTCATGGGCGTCAGACATGAATGCACATAGTATACAGGGATACATGCAGGCCAAACACTCATAACATAAAAATAAAAATTGAAAAGTTGTCAGTAATCTTTTAACAATATTATTTATTCTAATTTTAAGTATATGAGTGTTTTGCATTATACCTGGCACCTGTGGTGGTTAGAATAGGGTATTGTGTCCCCTGGAACTGGAGATTTAAAGGTTGTGAGCCACCATGTGATGTTGGGAAACAAACCTGGGCCCTCTGTAAGGCAACCAGTGCTTTTAACCACTGAGCCACCATTCCAGCCCCAATAGTCTTTAATATGCATTACACTATTTATTATGTTTTAAAGGAAGATAATTTAGGAAGATGATTAAATATATATTGTTTAGACAAAACACCTGATAAACAATAAAATCCAATGAAAACCAGTTTCTGAGAGGAGGGCCCATGTATCTGATATCTTTAGAGCTTCCTGTTGATGCTAATGTGTAACTACATATGGTCCTGATCGCAAGAAAAAAATTTTAATGGTCCATGCAGCTAGTTAAGTTAGAGTCTAGAGCAGGTGCTCTGATGTTGTGGGACTCTTGGGAGTTACAGCTCATCTCCTTGCAGCACACAGAAGTCTTAGTCAAGCAAGAGTGTCATTTAATGGTGAGCAGCATTTCGGTAAGATGTAAAAAAGGCACCTGGGGGGATTTGAGCAGTAGAACTGTAAGTGCCCTTCCACTTCTGTTTTTAAAAATCTATACAGATCCTGTAAACCAAAAACATTAGAAGGACAGAAGAGTACCAAAGCCCGGGTATACAAATAATGTAGCCCACTGTTCTGAATGTTAATTATATAATTTTTATTATTTAAGTGTGAAGAGATGGATGGCTCACCAGTTAAGAGTGCTTCCTACTTCCCAGAGGCCATGGGTTAGTAGGTTCCCAGCATCAGCCACCTGCCCATGCGTACACTCTGGTATACACATAAGATAAATGAATGATTCTAAAAACGTAATCTCAACAATTTATACAGCCTTGTGAAGACTGCTGAAATAGGGACAGTGCTTTTTAGGGAAAAACAGAACATAACAAAAAAGTAGGTTCAGTCAGTTCAAAGTTGACAGTTAAAGCTAGTGAGGCCTCTGGTATTTTGTGTAGAGCTGTGGTGATCCTACTTTACTTTTCTCCAACAGTACCCCGAGATTTTCCTTATGAAGAGGATTCAAGACCTCGATCACAGTCTTCCAAAGCTGCTATTCCTCCCCCAGTGTATGAGGAGCCGGATAGACCAAGATCTCCAACGGGCCCCAGCAACTCCTTCCTTGCTAACATGGGGTAATGCTTCAATTGTCCTATCAAGCTAAGAAAAACATCGAGGTGGCTTAAGACTCTGTTTGGGGGTATGGCTCAGTCCTGCACTCCCAGAACTTTGAACATAGAGGCAGAAGGATCTGAATTTCAGGCTAGCCTGGGCTACACAGTGAGACTGAAATACAATGTGAAGTGCTTGCTGTTTTTTCTTTCCATAAGCGGAACTCATTTGAAAGTAAAGCCACTTGAATTTCTAGAGAAATACTTGTATTTGATCACATGTTTCTCTATAAAGGATTAGTGTTCAAATCAGGTTGAATTTTTTTCCTATCCACTGAAGGTTTGTAAAAAGCATCCATCTAGTGCAAGTCATGGATGATTTAGACACATTTCTTTACATAGACGTTTCTGATAATTACATCATTTTTGTTGTTTTTTGTTTTAAAAGCTCTTTGGGGGGTTCTTTTTTTATTTATTTATTTTTATGTGCATTGGTGTTTTGCCTGCATGTATGACTGTGGGTGTCAGATCCTGGAGTTAGAGATAGTTGTGAGCCACCATGTGAGTGCTGGGAATTGAACCTGGGTCCTCTGGAAGAGCAGTCAGTGCTCTTAACCACTGAGCCATCTCTCTAGCAATTACATTGTTTTTTATAGCATGCAAATAGAATGGCTCATAGGAATTAGACATGGTTCAGGTTATCTCCAAAGGGTGAGGGACTGGATTTTCCTGAAGAAATGTGTCATTTTGTCTTAGATTGTGGTCGTACACCTTTGGTGTTAAGAAGCTGCTTATGCTGGGGAGGCAGCTCAGTGGTGGAAGGCTTGTCTGTGGTGCACTAGCCCTGAGCTTTGTACCTAACCACTCCTCTCAAAACAAAAAGCACCTCTTGTCATTCTAACTATAGAGATGAGTATTTATCATAGAATGGAAAAAAAAAACAATTTTAAGATTAACATTTGAGTAAGACAGGTGGGTTTTATTTGTTCTGAGATAGTATCTCCTGAGAGCCCAGCGGGGCCTCAGACTCACCATTCTCCTGCTACCTGCCCCAGTTTTTCTAGAGTGCTGAAGTTAGGATTACAGGTGTGTGCCACTGTATTTTATCTTTGCACTGATGCTATGAAAGGCTGCTCAAGTGGCATTGCCTTAAATGTTTTGTTCCATGCTGTTAAACGGTATGCTGTTTGCAGTAGAAATGCTGCTAGTGAGACAGCTGAGGGCCCTTAGGAAGTACTAATGGAAAAGCTGGAGTAGATAGCTGGCCTCCTGCATAGCAGGACTTCTCAAATACTGAAAATTCTTCAGTCACACTAGTCTAAACTGCTGTTGACCACATGCTGTGGTGGAGACCACAGTTAGGGCATTTCCAGCACCACTGTCTACCCAGACACTGGACAGCACAGTGCTGGAGGGCGAGGAAGTGCTTCTCGTTCTTGTCCTTCCTGCTTACCATAAAAATCATCGCTTTGTTTGATTTTCACTTAAACAAGAATTGGACTTTTAATTTCACTTAAGAAGGATCCAACATGGTTTAGTTCAGTCTTTGTAGTAGTTTGCTTTGCCCTGGAATAGCTTGTTCAAAAGAAAATATGAGAGGAATTACAGAACATGAGAAGGTACAGCTATAGTGGAAGCTGGGCTTTGTAATCCAAAGCCAAGCAGATGGTGTCACTAGGGGCACTCTTGAGATCCTTAGACACCAGGAGAGAATTGATGCCTTCTTGCAGAAAGTAGCAGACTAAGAATCCAATTCCATTTGTGCCCTTAACACCTGAAAAAGGTGTTACAAATGTTTTTTTGTTTTGCAATTACCCTTAAGCTAGCCATTCAATATCAACCTTGTTTTACTTCCCATCTGTTGATTAGGCGCTTCCTGAGGTTTTTTTCATTGAGTTTCTGCTATGCCATGAGAAAAATACAGTCTTTATTATCTGAAACCTCATACTTAGAATTTGACAGGCTGCCATTTCCAGCTGGTCTTAACCCAGGTAGTGGTGCAGATAGGGAGCTAACAGAGGAAGTTGTTGTTTGTTTGTTTGTTTTTGTTTTTTTGTTTTTTTTTTTTCTCTTATACAACAAAGGTGTCATCAAAAAAGCTACCATTCACTGAATGGTGATGCCACATGCCTTTACTCCTAGCACCTGGAAGGCAGAGGCAGGTGGACCTCTATGAGTTTAAGGCCAGCCTGCTCTACATAACGAGTTCCAGGACAGCCAGGGCTGCACAGAGAAATTCTCTCTCGAAAACCAAAACAACAAAAAAAGAAGGAGCTGTCATTCCCCACAGAAATACTCAGGCTATCTTGGGTTGTAGTTACCAACATTTGGGGGGGGGGGGTGAGACAGGGTTTCTCTATATAGCCTTGGCTGTCCTGAAACTCAATCGTAGACTAGGCTGGCATTGAACCCAGAGCTCCACCTCCCTTTGTCTCCCAGGTGTTGGAATTAAAGGTGTGTGCCCCCACCACCCAGTTGTTATCAACTTTTTATATTTCTTCTATCCTGTGCATCCTCAAAGCTTCCATCTAGAAGCATCTGTTAATTACTTGTCTTCATTAGGACTTACGCTGTGACCAGGGCATTGCTCCATAGATCCAGTGTGTTCTGATATCAGTGGCATCAACTGTAAGGATCCTTTCTCTTTCCTCCTAGTGGCACAGTGGCTCATAAAATCATGCAGAAGTATGGCTTCCGGGAAGGACAGGGACTGGGGAAGCATGAGCAAGGGCTGAGTACTGCATTGTCAGTAGAGAAGACCAGCAAGCGGGGCGGCAAAATCATTGTGGGTGACGCAACGGAGAAGGGCGAGTCTCAGGGTAAGTTCACAGAGCATTGTGGATGTTTAGCCCAGAAGGAAGGTGCACCCTCCTTTCTGGAAGCAGTAATTTCTAGTGATGACATGTTTTCCACTTCTGTCTTATGAAACCAGGGAGCCTTGAGACTCATTTTATTTTTCTAGAACCAAGACAGATAAAATATGCTTGTAGGAGCCAAAATTTTTCAACTGCTTTGATTAGGCAAAGAATCTTCATAACTTGGTAAAATATCTAGTGATTATGTCTGCTTTATCCACATCTTGAGTGGGTCTCTCAGGGGTTTTTTTTTTGCCCTTTCAGTATAGATGAGGATTTTGGTTCATTTACTGATCATTTGGTGAGGTCTAGTGCTGCTCTGTAGTGCCTGGTTGCTATTTTATTTTCATTTGATTTTTATAACCTGTTCTGTATGTAGGGAAAATAGGAATGAGGCATATCTTAACCTTTTAAATAGAAAAAAAAAATGGTTTAATTGTAAGTCAGCTTATCTGAATTCCCTTCCCTAAATTACTTTAACAACTCAACTGTCAGCCCTCCCTGTTAATGCACAGTCTCAGCAACAGCCAGCTGCCTGAATTCTGAGTGCTGGTTACAAAAACAATTAGCAGTTTTCCCAGTTTACAGTCGTATTTAAAGTCAACTTAACTAGTGGCTAGACAATTGTCTGGGCCAGCAACTTAAACTGTCATTCCAAGACAAGGATCATCAGTTAATGTTATAAACTGTTTGCTCTGCCAGCCCTTCAGGAAATGAAATGAGCAAAAGATGGTAGGTAATGGTGGAAGCGAGAAACTTTCAAAAAGTACCATAAAATCATGTATCAAAGAAAAACATGTTTTTATTTCAGGGACTGGTTTTACAGATGCCTCTAGGACACAAACGATGACATTGCTATTGTAATTGAATTAGGCATGTGGTGGTGCTCAGGTCTATAACACTTCTGTCTTGCTTTCATTTCCTGTTGCTGACAAAAGCAACTCATGAGAGGAAGGCTTTATTTGGCTCAATTCCAGGTACAGTCCAATACTGAGGGGCAGTCAGGGCAGAAGGAACTTGAAGCAGCTCATCAGGTAACATGTAGTAGGGAGCAGAGAAAGTGAATGAATGCATGATAACTAGTTCTTAGTTAACTTTCCCCAACCTTGTATAGTCTAGGCCTTCAGATTGCAGGGGTCCTCCCATTTCCATTATGTAACTAAGATAATATCTCACAGACAGTCTCAGAGACCTGTCTAGGTGGTTCTAGATTGTGTCTGGATTTAATTGTGACAGTTAAAACTAACCATCGCAGTGTCTGATATGTTTTGATACAGATGCATCCAAGAAGTCGGATTCAAATCCATTAACTGAAATACTTAAGTGCCCTACTAAAGTGGTCCTGCTGAGGGTAAGAAGTAAAACCTGTGCCCTTGATTCTGTGTTACCCCAATCTTTACCTGTCTCTGAGGCTTTCACAAAGACTCACTGATATCCTCAAAGTTAAGAATACTAAAAATAATGGGCTGGAGCAATGGTCCAGTGGTTAAGAGCATGGGATGCTGTTGTAGAGGACCAGGTTTGTTTCACAGCATCCACATGATGGTTCACAACCCTCTATAACTGCAGTTCAGGGGAGCCACCCTCTTCTAGCCCCTGAGGGCACTAGGCACTCATATGGTACACAGTCCTTACATTCAAGCAAAACATTCCTACATACAAAAAAATCAATACTTTTTTTTTTTTTTTTTTAAAGAATAGTGAAAATGATACTTTTGCAATAATTCCTTTGGGTAGATGCTTATAGAAGGGTTTTACGTTACTCTCAGTGAAGTGTTACATTGAGACTGCAGTGACTACTTAGTTGGAAATTTCTGGAACATTCTCTTAGGTGTTGTAATACTATTCAAAGTTTCCCATGTGTTTACAGAAACCACTGTGTCTTGGAATTAGAACACATTCCACGTCTGAGATGTGGCTCAGTATTGGAGCATTTCCTAGTGTGTGCAAGGTTCTAGTACTGGTGGGATTGAGGGGAGAGAACGTTTGTCATTATGAAAGAAAATAATATTCTGAAACCCTTACACATTTGAAATTATGCTCGGTGCTTAATTGTTTCCCTGTATAGAACATGGTGGGTGCAGGAGAGGTCGATGAAGACTTGGAAGTTGAAACCAAGGAAGAATGTGAAAAATATGGCAAAGTTGGAAAGTGTGTGATATTTGAGGTAGGAAGATTTTCTTTTGATATAATTTTTAATTGGCAGATTATAAATCCCCCTCCATAGGTAGCACTGGCATTGATCCAGTAACATTGTCTTACTATAGACACCAATGCATGTTAGTTACACTTCTCATATGTGCTAGGTTGTTGTTACGTAATGGGTTTTGTTTGTTTAAGACAAGGTCTCACTTTGTAAATAGGCTGTCCTTGAGCGAATAGAGATCTGCCAGCACTTGCTTCCCAAATGCCAGGATTAAAGGCATGAATATTCACTTCCAGCTTTGTGTTAGGGGTTTTTGTTGTTGTTGTTGTTTGTTTTTTTCTGGAAGACAGGGTTTCTCTGTAGCCTTGGCTGACCTGGACTTGCTTTGTAGACCCCACTGGCCTTGAACTCAGAGATGTGCCTGCCTCCGTCTCCCCGAGTGCTGGGATTACAGGCGTGCACCACTGCACGCAGTGCTAAGTGTTAGTTTTAAATGTAAAAACAAAAGTAGATTTTATTTGGTAATATAATACAAATGTTTTATTACGTTATTTTGCAAGTATTTAGTGCCTCTTATGGAGCCCATTCTGTATTGAATATTTAAGGTATCAGCAACGTTTGTTTTCAGGGTATGTTCAGTTGAAGAGACAGCACATCAAGAGCCAGGAAGTATAAAATAGAAGGCCTATAGTGTTGGCTGTGAGGTCTTGAGAAAGATGTCAGCATAAACAAATGAAGAAGGCCTTATGACAGTGTCACATGTGAACTGAGCTTTGCATAGGGAGTGGCAGAGGAAGGATATTTAGACTGAGTGAGGACTCCTTACGGAAGAAGTTGGAATTGTGCTTTACATACGTTACATGAAGCTATATTGTGGAAGGTTTGGACAGACTGCTAAACAAAGCTAGTCAAAGTGCAGACCGATGTGAAGACAACTGGAGTAGGAGTATGTAGCCGGTTCTGCTTTCACAGCTGTTCCTGCTGCTGCTGCCCCTTTATCCTGTTGTTAGCTAACTGTATAATCACTTGATTGCATGCTAGTTGCCATGGGCAGCTTCCTCCCAGCAAGACTGCATTGCTTAGCTTTAGTTATATGTTTCCAGCCCCAACATAGTTCCATCAAAAACCATTAGCAATTTATATTTATTTCCTTGATGGTTGGCCACTTTTGTCATATGTATGTGCACACGCAAATATATGTGTATGATTATAATTAGAGTATGTGCACAGACACAAACTTTACTCCTACGTTTCTTGCCATTTTAGATTCCTGGTGCCCCTGATGATGAAGCAGTACGGATATTTTTAGAATTTGAGAGAGTTGAATCAGCAATTAAAGGTATGCTGTACTATTAAAGAATTTAACAAATATTAAAGTTGCTGTTTGGTTGTCTTTCAGGACACCTGTATTAACTGTCTTTTTGTTTGCTTTTTAGCTGTTGTTGATCTGAACGGGCGGTATTTTGGTGGACGGGTGGTTAAAGCATGTTTCTACAATTTGGATAAATTCAGGGTCCTGGATCTGGCAGAACAAGTTTGATTGTAACCTAAAGTCACCTCCATGATCCTTACATGAGCTGCAGACTGAGCAAGGAAATAGAGATCAGCCTCCATGGCTGTTGGACACTGAGACTCTTGGATGGACTTCTGAGATATATGTTGACGGATCCCTTTTTTATTTTGTGTTTTTTTTTTAATATAGTATAAAAACCCTTTAAAAAAATTTGTGTGCTTCTCTGGTTGTTTTCTCACTACTGCCTCTGTTGATTGATTCTGCTGGGATTTCATGCCATGCAATGAATCAGGCACTGAAGAGTAAGTCATCCTTTTCCTCCTTCCTTAATAAAGCCTTCCAGTTATGGAGCTGTAGCTTTATACATACATAATAAACCTGTATTTAGCCAGTATTAAGATTGAGGAATCAAGAGCTCATGTGATTTGATGGATTGAGTTACCTGGTATTTAAGCTAAGCCAGACTGCAAGGGTTGTGATGGGTTTATGGAGTATCTGGGTATAGAAATTGTTTAGGGTGGATTAGAAATGTCAGGTTAACTTAAAGCCTAGAAGGTGCTTTATAAGTGTGTGCCCAGCTATGTTTGGGAATAGCTGGAGTTATGTATACTGACAAAAATCTGAAACTGTTAGTGCTCGTATGTGTAGTCTTAAAAATTCACAAAATTTAGCAAGTGTTAGCTACCTTAACTATATTGCCAATTAATGTAATTGTGGAATTGTTGGAAATTATACTCTTGAAGTACAGTAGTGTAAGTTGCTTAAAAAGCATTAGCTGGACTACAAGAAAAAGAAAACAAAAATGTTTAGTACTGAGTTCATTGTCAAGGAAGTACTTATGTCTGAGTTCTTTCAGGGTAATTAATACCTAAAGGACATGAACCTGTGTTCTGTGTCAGATTATGACCTGGGAGGAAATAACTCATCTGCACACACACACACTATATATATACATATTATATCCATGAGAACACATAAGGATCTGTTTTAAATTTTTTTTCTTGTAGAATGGGATTTTATGTTTTAGAGTAGTTCATTTAAAAAAGTGAATTAAAGTGTGGGGAGATGGCTCAGTCAGTAAAGTGCTTGCTGGCAAGCGTGAAGACCTGCGTTAAGTCTGTAAAACATATGTAAAAAGCCTAGATTTATGTGCCCCTCTAATCCCAGCCTGGGGGAGTGGAGACAAGAGGATCTGTGGGGCTCACTGGCTAGCCAGTGCAGCCTTATCAATGAGCTCCAGGTTCCTTGAGAGATATGATCTCAAACATATGACAGAGAGCAAATGAGGAAGACACTGAGTCAACCTTTAGCTTCTACACCTATGTGCACATTAGTGCACACACAAGTGAATGTAAGAATGTATACAAAATAATAAAACTGAACTAAGATGAGTTTTATGATCAGAGTATATACTATATAAGTTTAAATAGTAAAGTGAAAGAATTTTGTATTTGGGACATTTTATAAGGTAGTAAGTGAGCAGCTGTGAAGTTTATGCCAGCTTTCCCTGTGGAATCAGGCAGGTGAATATTAATGTAAACAGCTCTGAAGCCTCCAAGTACCTAGCTGCTGAAGGATGGCTAGTTCATGTCGTCTCTAATGTGTGGGAGGTACACACTCCAGTCTGCTTTGGTTTTTGAGACAGGGTTTCTCTGTAGCCTTGCCTGCCCTGGAGCTTGCTCTGTAGACCAGGCTGACCTCAAACTTAATAGAGATCCACCTGCCTCTGTCTCCCACCACCACTGCCTGTCTGCAAACTCCAGTCTTGAGTGCTTATCTTGTGCACTAGTGCCTTCCAACACTGAAAATCTGGTGACCCCAGTTACTTGGTAAAACATTTAGCCAAACTTAATTCGAGTTCAGAACAGTGGTGTTGGGGAAATGAGAATAGAATGTTGGTGTGTGTTGAACTGCCAGGTTCAAATCTGCCTTACCCGAAAATGGAAATGATAGCGGTGTCCATTTAAAATTATTAGGAAAATTCAGTAAATGATGTATTACAATAATCTGTTCTAACAATTTGTAAAGGTTTTTGTTTTTTTGTTTTTTATTTCCTCATGGTTCTAGAGGTTGGAATATAAGGACAGTTTGTTATCTGTGCCCCTTCCCCCCACACTTTCTTCATCAGTGGCTTCTTCGCACATGTGTAAAATATTAACATTTGTATTTCACACTCTCCCTTCCATCTTGGGATTCTCCAGCCTTCATTCACTCACATTGAAGTGCATTGGATGTCCTGTGAAGATCTAATGGGTACCAACAAATGTTCAATTTTGTGTATTCATCGTAATACACAGAATCATTTCAGTACCCTAAAAATGTCTCTACTTCACCTGCTTGTTCAATCCTGGTAATGACTGAGGGCTTTGCCATTAATAGTTTTGCATTTTCCAGGGCAGCATATAATTGGAGCCATATAGCATATACCTTTTTTTTTCAGACTAGTTTCCTAGCATTGTAAGGGCTTGGCGCATGTCAGTAATCCCATCACTGCATTTAAGAACAGCCTGGACTATGTAGTGAGATTCTGTTTGTAAAGATTCATCCATATCTTTTGTGGCTTGATAGCTTGTTTGTGACAGTCTAATGTAACCGAGACAGGAGTTGTTTCCATGCCCAGAGCTAATTTATCATGAGCAGTATTCCTTTCTGTAGCCTTTGCTGTACTCACCTGTTGAAAGACATTTTGATTATTTCTAGTTGTTGGCAATTAGCAAAAGCTGTAGGTTTTTAGGGCTGTGGTTGTCAGGCAGTATAGTTAAGACTGGTTCTCTTTTATCTGTTTTTACTACAGGTATGTTAACATACTCATTTAGGGGGAAACTCTTGAATTTTTAGCTTTTTTTTTTTTTTTAGTGTTTTCTCAGAATCATCTATTCCCTGTCTCTTCATTTTTTTTTTTATTGCTCTTCTGTTGTATTTAATTACAAATTAACTCTTCTTCTAGGCCCCCTGAATTGCTGTTGAAAATTAGTATGACCCCTGTCTAATGGAGCCCATTCACTTTAGACAGTTTATGGTGATTGATACTCTTGGCTACTCCTCCCTGGAGGTGACCTCTATTCCTGTTACTGTGTGTGTTACCATTCACCCCCTTTCCAGTGCTTGGACCTACTCTCCTAACCTTCAGACTCATTTATCCAGTCCTCCCTATAAAAGGTCTCATTGCATAGTAGACTTCAACCCCTTATTAACTGTATACTTCATGCCTCGCACTTGGCTAAGCATTTTCTTTATAAGCTTTCGGATAAACTCTAATTTAGAGAAAAGCATCCCACACTTCTGAGAAACCTAGGAATCTTCCTAACCGCCCCCCGCCTTTATCCCATTTGTCTCAGAAGATCAGTCTGCACTCAGTCCTTCATTTCCGTTCATGCTTCCACCTGCTACAGCCCAAAGTAAATCCAGAAAGGACATTGACTCAAGAAATAGAAAAGGTAATCCCCAGCATTATGACCAAGTTAATTTGTTCATTCCAGAAAATGATCTATGAGTGCTGAACTTTTTGAATTAGTGAATTTGTTAAGTATCTACTAGGCCAAAGTAAAAGAATAAATGACAAGTAGTAGAGAGAGAGCAGACAGCAAAACATCAAATTGGGTACTCAAAACTACCTGGTAGAACGTTCCAGTAGAGCCCTAGGCAGAGAAAGGCAGGAGATTTCATGATCCACAACAGAGACAATGTGTTTTCCAAGATGCCCTGTGAAAGGAAATAAATAAATTGTGCTCATTTGGAGCCAGATGATGCCTTCCTAGAGAACGCCCATCTAGGATGTCAAGCACAGTGAGTTCTGTTTACTTGGGAACAAAATGATATCTAAACTTAAGTTCGTGGCAGCCCCTGCCCACTCTTGGACCACCTCTCTTGAGTTTTACCTGGAAAATGCTTTACTTTTCCCAAGAGAGTAGTGTTGCACTCTAGCTGCTGCTCAGGCCATATCTGTATCAGTCTTTCCCTTTCATGGAGAACCACAGGCACGCGTTCCTGAGTCCCTGGCTCACAGACTTTGCAGTGCCAACATGTCTCATTGGCAAGTGAATTTACATCCAAGTGGGTATTGGTGATCACCCTCCTCCCTCCCCCCTCACCTGCCTCCTGCAGGGAATCAGCCTGTCTGTAGGCTTGTGCCATAACACCTACTTCTGCCTTGGTGCCCTGACTCCTTTCCTCATAGGGCCCCATGCTCTGTCTATCCATGGTGTTAATAACTTATTTGAGACAGGATCTCACTTTGTAGCTCTGGCTGGCCTGGAACTTAGATCAAGTGCCTCTGCTTCCTAAATGCTGAGATTAAAGGTGTGTGCTACCATACCCCACTGATTAGCAAAGCTTCAATAAATTTACCTCCAGCAATCTTATTCCCAACAATCTGCCTGGTATTCTCCTTGAACACTCCCCACTGCTTTCCCAGCATCTAAAGCCTTTCACATTTTTTTTTTTTAAACCTTGTTACAAATTATATTCTTGAGCTGGAGAGGAGACTCTGGTTAAGAATGCTTGTTCTTGCAGAGGTCCCAGGTTCGGTTCCTACTGGCACCCACACAGTGGCTCACAACCATATGTAACTCCAGTTCTAAGTAATCCAGCACCCTCTATTGACATACACAAGCAATACAGATACGGGTAGTGCACATATGTGCATGTAGTCAAGACATTCAAACACATAAATCGTTTTTTAAAGACTCCTTGTCAGACAGAGGCAGGCAGATCTCTGAGTTTGAAGTCAGCCTGGTCTACATAGTAAGTTTCAGGACCTTGTCTCATAAAACCCAATAAATAAATAAACACATTTTTTTGGACCAGGTTGGAGGGAAGGGAGGTGATTTCTTAGCCTTTAGAGAGATAAGCGCCCCCAACAGCCCATATGTATCCACCTATGGAAACCTAGCTATGATTCCTTTTATCCTGTCAGGTGGTTTTACTCTCTGTTAAAACGCCTTTTTTCAGTAAACCTAACTTGGCTTCATATTGGCCTCATTCTGAAATTCATTTCTTTCCCACAAACCTAAGTTTTGCCTGGAAAAGAAAAGAGCTCTTCAGGTAGGTTGGATGTGGTGGCATTTAATCCTAGCACTCAGAGGCAGGAGGATCTCCTTGAGTTTCAGGCCAGCTTGGTCTGACAGTGAGTTCCAGGCCAGCCAAGGCTACATAATAAGACCCTGTTTTTTGTTTTGTTTAAAAAAAAAAAAAAAAAAAGCTCAGGCAACTGCCTATGTGCTTTGGAGCCGTGAGCCTTGCTGGTGACATAACCTAAAATTTGTTTTAACCGGAGAAGGGAAAGATTAGAGAAATCTTTTGTGTGTAGGATACCTTGGTCAGAGTTCTTTTCCTTTATTAATTAAAGAGCCAAAAGGCAGGCCAG